TTAATACAAAATTTAGGCTGAGAACATCAAGATTTTCAGAAGTCAGGTAAGTTACATTTCCTGTCCCATATTGTTATGTAATACATTATTAGCTCAGTCCAAAGCTCACTGAAGCCAGTGGAAAGACTGTCATTAATGTCAGTGTTGTTTGGATCAGACCCTAATAAAACTAGAGTGCACTAAAGTTCATATTTAAACAGGAAATCAGGAACAAAAATATTATATAATGGTGATAAAAACTTTTGGAATTTTATGACTTTGAAATGCTTGATTTGTCAACCTCATTGTTGAATTAGTTTTAATATTTAATTTCTTTGGCCAAGATTTTTATAAGTATCTAGTGATTTTGACTGCATTCATTTTTTGGATGCCCAACTTGAGACACCTTAAAGGAATCTGGTTGTCATAGGGCAGGTGCTCATCACTTTCTGAAAATCTTCCCAGAGCCCCTGCCCCTACACTCAGTCTTCTTTTTTAAAATAGAAAAGAAAAAGGGGAAAAAATCCAGAGTTATTCATCTTGCAGAGCTGATCAGAAAAAGGCCAGAAGCCCCTGGCATCTTGTCCTCCTTGGCTCGTACTATAGTGACCACTCTATTGAACTCTCCAGGAAAAGAAGAGCATTTGTACCTCATTACACAACTTTGTTATAATTTCACATACTACAGTTCAATTCACAAATAGCTCAGATTTTGTTTTATTCATAAAGCATCATTACACCACACATCAATTAACACTGTAGCTTCCTAGCTGTCCCTCTTCAACAACCCCTCATCCTGCCCTCCAATCTAGCCTGCACCTTTCTCTCCCAAGGAAAAACAGTGTCCAAGCTATTAAAAGAGGCAGAACTACAGAACTGACATAAAGCAACTAACAATACTAGTCCTGGTTTCGGGTTACTGCAAGCGGAAGAAAGACACTTAGGGCCTGATTCTCTCCTGTTACTCCTACTACTCTGTACCATTCAGGTGATGCAAAGAGGTTGGAATCTGGCCTTAGCTGACCTGCTGAGACTTTCCCTGGCATGACTGAGGTCTATGTTGGCATACAGCCAGCACAGCTAACTCCTACACCAGCTGCACCCCCAGCATAGAGGGCATGGTATCTGTGCTTCGTCAATTCTTACCTGATGTATGGTGAATGGAGGAGGACAGTCAGCTGGCATAAATAAGAACAGCCACTAATTTATGCCAGAGCTGTTGGTCTACTTTATACTGGAGCTGGGGCCAGAGTAACTTGACAATCAGGAAGCTGTAACTGGCTCTCTGATTGGTATGACCCCCACCTAACCTGTACTCAGCAAAGGTCAGTGAAGGAGAGTATCAAGGCCTTAATCTCTTTCCTTTACCCATATACCCTACAGCTCATCCATAACAGCGATAACAAAACTCCCAAAAGCAAAAGAGGTCACGACCTAACTGAAAACCACAGGAACAGGGGTACAACCGAATGACAAACAAAATGGGACCCAGAAGGCAGAGTATCAAGGGACATGATAAAGCTATTCTCTCCTGACAGAATCGCTTAGTGACGTCACATTATACTGCATTGCACCTGTGTGGAACTACAAAGAGTTAAATAATGTATAGACTAAGTCCTATAAGTACCACGGGGAGCCTGGAGATTGGTAAATGATAGATAAAGCATCTCTTTGTTCATAAGCCATTTCCGAACTTTGGTGCGGAAGATTTTTGCAGGCAAGGGAGTGCTGGAGGAGGACAGGGTTACATTACATTGACAATTGACTGACAGTTAGTTGCACTGAAGGGCTGAGACCATTAGGATTCTTTATGGGGCTGGCATTTTTCTTTGTCCCTTTTATGTGGCAATCTGCCATGGTGCACACTCACTCTACTTTGGAGATGAGGGATAACCAGATGCCATGCTGCCGCTCCACTGGTTGTTGTGCAGCTGCCTCCTTCCCTGTTTCCCAGAGCACATCACATTCAAGACATATTCACGCCTCGGGGGCTGGAATCTTCTTCCTTCAGCTTGTCACTCCATGCATCATCATACCACAGTACTAACAAGGCAACCGAGCACCATTCCATTCCTCTTACTGCTCAGTCTGTTAACTGGATTTTTGTATATATATATTTAATTTAACAGCTGTTAGGTTGCACGATATCATCCCACCTGAATTCCAGGATTACATCACAGGTGTTATCAAAACATAAAGCCAGATTCTAGAGAGACAAGGTGGGTGAGGTAATATCTTTTATCGGACCAATTTGTGTTGGTGAGAGAGACAAGCTTTTGAGCTACACAGAGCTCTTTTTCAAGTCTGGGAAAGGTACTCAGCGCATCACAGCTAAATACAACGTGGAACAGATTGCTTTGCATAGAAAGTTAGCACATATTCCAAGGGACCATTAAAGGTGGAGTGGCCTGTTAAAACCTCTGCAGTCATAGGACCAAAAGGGAGGGGTTACTGGGTTACCGATTGTTGTAATAAGCCATAAATCCCGTGTCTCTGTTCTGTCCATGATTTGTAGTGTCTAGCAGAGTTATGAATTTAAGCTCCCACGCTCTTCTTTTGAAAGTGTTGTGGAGGTTTTCTTTGAGGATGAGGCCTGATAGGTTAGATATATAGTGATCACTTTGTGAAAAGTGATCACCCACAAGTGATGTGGTGTTTTTGTCTTTTCATTTTTCTGTGTGAGTTCATCCGAGTGCGTAGTGATAGTCTGGTTTCACCCATATAGTTGTTATTGGGGTATTTAGTGCACTGGATGAGGTACACCACAAGTTATGATAGGCATTTGTAGGATCCATAGATCTTGAAAGGTGTGTTGTGGGGGGTATTGATCATTGTAGCAGTTGAGATATGTCTGCCTGTTGTTCTGGCAGGGTCTGGTGCTACTTTGAGTAGGTGTGTCCTGGTCTGTGGGGAGCTTGCTTCTGATGATGAGTTTGGAGAGGTTGGCGGGTTGTTTGAAGGCCAGAAGAGGGGGTTCAAGAAAGATTTCTTTCAGGATGGTGTCCCCATTGAGTATGGATTGTAGTTTTTTGATGATACGCCATATGGGTTCCAGTATGGGGTGGTAGGTGACAACTAGGGGTGTGGGATAGGAGAGGGTTTTATTTCTATATGAAGAAGTTAGCATATTGGTGAGCCATCCTAGTACCAATGGCTGTTCCAATGGTTTGGACAAAGTGTTTGTTGTTGAATGTACAATTGTTATGGGTGAGGATGAAATGGGATGACAAGGTATTTGGAGTGGCTATCTGAGGGTTGTCCAGTGTCTTGAAAATATTTGTAAATATTGGATCTTACACATGCCTATCACAACATGTGGCATACCTCATCCAGTGCACTAAATGCTTCAATAACAAGTATGCGGGTGAAACCAGACAATCACTATGCTCTTGAATGAGGTCACATAGGAAAATGATTAAAGACAAAAATTCGCTATCACCCCTCACAAAGCAGTCACTCTATATTTGACTTATTAGGCTTCATCCTCAAAGGAAACCTGCACAACATTTTCAAAAGATGAGCCTGGGAGCTTAAATTCATAACTCCGCTAGACACTAAAAATCATGGACTGAACAGAAACACTGGATTTATGGTTTATTACTGCACTCTGTAACCCACTAATCCCTTCTTTTTGGTCCTATGACTGCAGAGGTTTTAACAGGCCACTCCACCTTGAATGGTCCCTTAGAATATGTGCTAACTTTCTATTCAAAGCAATCTGTTCCACGTTGTATTTAGCTGTGAGGCGCCAAGTACCTTTCCCAGACTTGAAGAAGAGCTCTGTGTAGCTCAAAAGCTTGTCTCTCTCTCCAGTAGTATCTCCAATAAAGATATCACCCTATGCATCTTTTCTTTCTAATATCCTGGGACCAACACAGCTACAATACTGCATAAAGCAAGATTCTGTCATTTTCAGTCATGCCAGACTTCATTGCTTTCTAATAAACATAGGCATCATGTTATACAGAGAATACGGACCATGTTATTATCAGTTATTAGTACACTATCATAACACAGAAAATGTGTGGATCAACTGATCATTGGTGGGAGAAAAAACTCTAGATGGTTAAATCCTACTGAATTTTTTATTTGTACAGTGCTTTCTATTACCACGACGGGTGTTTATAACTCTTGAAACAGCATGATAGAAAGGACACGTGCACACACAACCCCCTTCCCCCCCAAGAGTTTTGAAAGGGAACATAATCCCTTGTGTTTCAAGGCATAAACCAACCTCTAACTAATGGGGATTGAGAAGAAGCTTTCCGTGTGAGCAGTTTATTCCATAATTGCATTCTTTGTGATGCAACTAGTGTTGGCCGCTGTCAGTCAGAATACTGGACTAGATATATCACTGGCCTGACCCAGTGTGGCAATTGCTATGTTCCTATGAATTTGTGATTAGCATAGTTTAAAATGTACACTTTTCTGTGCATTTTGTACACAGGTATAGGTGACATCTGAGATCCATGGGGAAATCCCTCACATTGCTAGGCACAAAGGCCCAGATCCTACCCACTCAGCATACAGTGGCACAGCACTGGATCCATGTGTCTTGGGCTCTCAGTGACCATGGAGGAGCAGATAGGCTTTGCCTCAAAAACGAACAAACCAAAAAAAGCAACCCAGCTGTAAACAAGTCATAGTGGTAAGGTGTCAGGAACAATTGAATTACAGCTAAATCAGAGAGCTCTTTTTTCAGGCCTGATCATTTGCTTTTTCCTGCTGTCCAGGTAGTAGGGGATATCAATACTGAAAACAAGCACATCTATAGAAGAAACTTGAATACAACAGTTTTGACTTTGTTATGTATTCTTTCACTGCAGAGTGTGGCTCAATATTTCTCCACTTGCCATTGTCACTGGTGATTTTTATCATATAATTACTACATTGCACCACATCTAATACTGGGGCAAACAAAATCTTGCAGCCTGGGACACAATTTTACTCTGCAATATATGTGTCAAGTCTCTCAAAAAACAGGAATCTATAATTATGTGTTGAAATGTTTCCTCACTTACCAACAGATATTGTCCAAACAGCAATTATTTTTGTGAAAGCCTTAGTTCTGGAGTTAAAGCGGCTGTGATGGATGGGATTTCGTATGGCAATATAGCGATCCAGAGAGATGGCACAGAGGTGCATGATGGAAGCAGTGGAGAAAAGCACATCCAAATAGATCCAGACAGCGCAGAGTTTTGTAGGCAGAGGCCATGTATATCCTGCAAAGGAGAAACTTAGCATCAGCTAAGCAGAGTATAAATGGATGGATGAATTTTACTATTGCTTATAACTTTACCTAAGTTTCAGAGTAACAGCCGTGTTAGTCTGTCTTTGCAAAAAGAAAAGGAGTACTTGTGGCACCTTAGAGACTAACCAATTTATTTGAGCATGAGCTTTCGTGAGCTACAGCTCACTTCATCGGATGCATACCGTGGAACTTAACCATTGGGGCTGAGATGTTGTTGGCTTGCTTTCTGCCTCTGGCTGATTTTATATACACAGGCATTTCTGAGAAAGATGTTAGGGAAAAATAGGCAGTTTTATCAATGTAAACATATTTCTTCAGTTTTCTTAAAAGAGCTCTAGCACCTCCAGGGTTTGGAGTAAATTTAGCAGTGGGACAGTCCTGGTGTAGAGAAGTGCATTTTGTTTTCCCTGTGAAAATACATACTGATTAGACCAAGTTACAAGAAAATTGCCATTTCCTCATGCTCAGGAGAGCTTGTGAGAGGCCTGCTGCTAAAATCTCTGAAAGTTCCATTTGCACTGAGCATGCTCCAGTCCCACAGTGCTAACCACTGGTTAGCCTGAAGGTCCCAGGCAGAGAACTAGAGCTCCAGATAGGGATGATATGGAAGCTATAGCAGCAGCTGTGGTTACCCCTTTGGCACAGGGCAGAGTTTCCTAAAGTATGTATGGCATTTGAAGCACTAGCTGGGGGTGTGTGGAACAGGAGCAGTGCAAGTTTCCTCATGTTGTCCTGCTAACATGACAGGGTGGAAGGGGAATGTGAATGGCTTAATTTTTCAGAAGTGTGTCTCAGTTTTCCATCAGAAAAATACTAGCCAAAGAGCGTAAAGTGAGTGGAAAGTGAAGGTAATACAGCTCCCCCTTCCACTAAAACCATAGGAAAAACTCCTCCGCTCTCCCTCTTTCTTGGCTGGAGCGGTGAGAGCTCCCCTTCCTGTTTCAATGTGCTCTACCCACCAGGGAAGGTGTGCTGAGTGCTAGGGGGATAGAATCATAGAATCATAGAATATAAGGGTTGGAAGGGACCCCAGAAGGTCATCTAGTCCAACCCCCCTGCTCGAAGCAGGACCAATTCCCAGTTAAATCATCCCAGCCAGGGCTTTGTCAAGCCTGACCTTAAAAACCTCTAAGGAAGGAGATTCTACCACCTCCCTAGGTAACGCATTCCAGTGTTTCACCACCCTCTTAGTGAAAAAGTTTTTTCTAATATCCAATCTAAACCTCCCCCACTGCAACTTGAGACCATTACTCCTCGTTCTGTCATCTGATACCATTGAGAACAGTCTAGAGCCATCCTCTTTGGGACCCCCTTTCAGGTAGTTGAAAGCAGCTATCAAATCCCCCCCTCATTCTTCTCTTCTGCAGGCTAAACAATCCCAGCTCCCTCAGCCTCTCCTCATAACTCATGTGTTCCAGACCCCTAATCATTTTTGTTGCCCTTCGCTGGACTCTCTCCAATTTATCCACATCCTTCTTGAAGTGTGAGGCCCAAAACTGGACACAGTACTCCAGATGAGGCCTCACTAATGTCGAATAGAGGGGAACGATCACGTCCCTCGATCTGCTCGCTATGCCCCTACTTATACATCCCAAAATGCCATTGGCCTTCTTGGCAACAAGGGCACACTGCTGACTCATATCCAGCTTCTCGTCCACTGTCACCCCTAGGTCCTTTTCCGCAGAACTGCTGCCTAGCCATTCGGTCCCTAGTCTGTAGCTGTGCATTGGGTTCTTCCGTCCTAAGTGCAGGACCGTGCACTTATCCTTATTGAACCTCATCAGATTTCAGATACAGTGAGTTCTAGTCTCAGTTCTTCCTCTCTACACTTCCTGGTCCTTATTATTAAACAAGGCCTGCTCCAACCTGAGAAGGCAGGCAAGTATCATTCCTCCATATTACAGATGGGATAACTGAGAAGTACCCAGGGTCTTTTGTGACAGAGTTAGAAATAAAACCAAAACACCAGAATCTGTGCTGTGCTTCTCAGAAAGTGTTGTATGGAGAAATGGGGAGAAAAGTTGGTTTTAAGTCACCTTTGTATCTCCTAGAGTCTGGGCTGCTCTAAGAGCTGGTTCTATCCCCAACGTAAATTAGGGGTTCTAGAGACTGCCCTAATTTACAGCCTTACACAGATGCCCATGGGATTCCTCACAGCTCAGAACTGCTGCAGCACAGAGCTTTGCCTCCTTCCGCTGGCATGCCCCTATGCTGAGGGTTGCAAGAGTGTGAAGTGTAGGGCCAGACCAACCTGGAGGAATTCCCCAAGTGGCCACTCTGCATCCTTTACAGCCCCTATATACCATACTGGGGACCAGAATTTATCCATAGATCTAATATGGTAGACCCAAGTTTTAGCCACAATGCTTTTCTGAAGGGATGTGCCAAACTTGTGTGTTTCGCTGTGCACAGTCCCTTCCAGAGCCAGGAATATAACCCCAGATTCTGGATTCCCAGTATTCCCCTGCTGTCCACCAAACAGTTATATAACATTGGCAAAACATGTGTCACATTCTTCTTTAGTGGCTGGTCCCCATAAAGAGTAACATCCTACTACTATTACTACCAGTCACTCCTTCAGCTGAAGCAGTAGAGATCTGTGCTGTGGATTGAAAGATCCTGGGCGCCAACTCTACTGATGATGTGTGTAGAGGGACAAGTTTCCACATGAAGGAATATCCCCTTGTCTTGTGTTCGTAGGAGAGCTCCATTCTGCTCCGGTCTCTGCTACAGACTTCCCAGAGATGTTGGACAAAATGTTATTGTAATGACTACGCACAAGGAGGTTGAGTTAAAGCTGCCTGGGCAGAATTTATTTTTGTCATTTTTTATCTTTTTAATCCTTGACTTTGCAACCTTATCATTCTTTTAATGGATTTTTTTTTTTTTTTTTGGTACGTATCTCTAGAAAAATCAGAGAAGGGCCATTTTTTTATGAAGGTAGTTGTATAGCACCAGTTCAAAAGGGACCCAATTCTTGTTTGAGTTCTGGCCAATATTGAAATACAAATAATATTGTATGTATGTTAATACACATTCACACACACTCGTCAAATTGAGGCCTAAGCCACATTCAAATCTGTATTTCAACTGTTTCTCCAACACTCTAAAGTTCAGTGCATTCATATCCAGAGTTTTGATCTGGGGTGTTAGTAATTTATACATAGAGGAGGCATTCAGATCTAAGTGATAGTTTTTGCTCCCACTTAAGCCAATGGCCAAACTCTTACAGACTTAATCTGGAATTAGATGAGACTCTAAAAGCCTGAAATCCTGCTGAGCAACTCTCCAGGTGCTGAGTGCTCTGATGATGGGAGTTGAAGGAGCCAGCACCTTTTAGGATTAAGCTCATAAAGCCAGATTATCAAAGGTATTTAGGTGCCCAGCTCCCCTTGATTTTGAGGATCTGGGCCATAATGACTTCTGGTTTGAGATCAGTGCAAATAGCACCAGAAGTGCTTTGGTGTCTGGGATAATATGATCACAGGTTAATGGGAGTCTGGAAACTGACTGATTCCTGGCCTTTTGTTTCTGGTAGTTGGGGTGAAGTTCTTAGTTCTGGTGGGGAAGGAGGGTTCTCTACAATAAATTGTTTGCTGGTCACTGTGATGCTGATAATGTATCACGCTGATGCTGCATTTCTAGGAAAGCTCATGCCAGAATGACTGAGTGATTTTTCAAAGGCATGTATCCTGGAAAGGGATCTTTCCTCTGGCAAAAGACAGCACACTGCAAAGGAGAAAAAACAGAGAGGAAAAAATAGAGAAGAAGCAAAGTGAGAGTCCTTCCTCTGTCAAATGGAGGGGATGGAGTTTTTCTCCTTTGCAGTGTTCATGCAGCTGCCCTCCTATTACTGTGCATGTAGTAAGGGTGCATTTGACCATGTAAATATTGCAGTTAAAATAAATGAATGGTCACAATTGAATATGGATTTCTGAGCAGAAGCAGGGATTAGCTTCCTCAGTGGCAGGGTCTGGCCAGCAGGAGTCCCTATTGCATGTGTCAGTGAACCATCCAGGGCTTGAGTCTTTCACTTATCTCACAAATCAAGCAATTACTGCTTCTATGGCACTATTTTTCATTAGCTTCCCCACTACCAAAGGTAATGATACTACAGATACAATCAGTCACAGACCCATGCCAATTCCAAACCTAATCTGATAATACTATTTAGGGTAGTTTGTCTAGAACACAGGGAAAGTGAAAGAGGGGGATTTGGAAATAAATTCTTATATTGCTGTTTCCTAATAAAATCTTCCTAAAGTTAAAGTTTAGTGGCTGATGATTTAGCTTATTGAAACAAGCCTAGAAGCTATTTCATCTCATGTCTCCTCTCTTCTTGTATTGGGTATTTTTCTAAGTTTTGAAGGTAAATTATACAAAAATAGGAACATATTTTTATTTAACACTTAGGCTGCTGCTTTTCAACCTTCTCTGCTTTTCAACTTTCTCCGTGTAACAGGCTTCTGAGGATATTGGTCAAAATGACAAACTTCCGATACCAATCTCAATAAACTGTGTCGCAAGTCAATTTACACTTGCAAAATTACTCATTAGAATAGATAGAAAAGATCCCAATATTTGATTATTAATTTGTAAATATTACTAACAATTGGGTACAATTAACTCTAGCCACTTTTCAGCCTCCTTCAAAACACTTATTCCAACATTCCATGGTAGCTAATGAAATTTAAAGGTAGATATGTAAATAAGGATCTCAGTGGAAAGATAATTATTTAGAATTGCAATGCTTGATTAAAAAATAAAAATAAAAAACAGAGGCAGGCTATTTTAACTCTGAAGGCACCAAGTAATTAATGCTTCTGTGCCTATTTGCAGGGCAAAGTAATTGACAGGACATTACTTCCTTATTAGAAACATATGTGTCAAAGATAAAACTGATACAACAGACAGGACAAAATATCTGATAGCAATTATAAGACAATTCCATCAGAATCAAAGTAGTAAATTGACATTTTGGACTGTGTTTAAAATGTCCATACTTAGAAGTTAAAAGTAAATAAACATGTAAATATTGCATCTGTTCTTTACGAACATTTACCCCTTATAGTTATTTTTCACCTTGAACAGGGAGGTGGGAAGCATATACCTTAAAACTAGCCTTATTTACATTTTTCTTTTCAAGCTGAAATAATAATAGCGTGTGCATGCAATTTTTAGAAAGCTACTCAATGTATGCAATAAGTTAGAGAGCTGATACTCACCATACAGTATGGTTAACATTGACACAGGCATGACAAGGAAACCCAATAGCATATCAGCTATTGCAAGAGACATTAGAAAATAATTAGTGGCATTCTGTAGCTTTTTCTCCAGAGTCACAGCCATGATAACAAGAATATTTCCAGCAATGGTTAGAACAATCACTATAACTGTCAGCAGAGCTGGCCAGTTTTTCTCTGGAAGATGAAATAGTGATGAATAACACGGCGGAGTCAGGCTACCTTCACATGAAAGATTAGTTAGGTTTTCGGAGTCCACAGTCAAGTTAAACAGATGAGATGCGTTAACCTCTCCAGCCACAAAAACATTTTTGTAGAGTCTTCTCTCATGATTTAATTGGATTAAGGAGTTTGCAGTTGGGTTCTCCTCGTCACAAAGAATATCCATTGCTAAATCTGAAACTCGGGAGGATGTACAGTGAAAAAACAGAAAGTTATAACCCTTTGTCACCATCAGGCTTTATATTCCTCTGTTGTTCAGAGCTGATGCTGGTGGAAAGAAGGGACTCTTTTTTTGTTGATTGTTTTTTCATCATTAATATGACATTGAGAAAACTGAGGGAGTTATTCTGGATGCTCAAATACTTTTATTTTCAGTTTCATGTAGTCCAATATCAGCATATGTTAAAAATCCAGTTGAAAAGGAAAACTAATTTACAGGCTAGAAAATGTGGACTCGAGGCTTCAGAGAGCAAAAACATTGGCCAAAAAAACTTTTGCAACCACCAGGACTCCCTTCTATATCTACATCCTATTGCTATTGGTAACTGTAATCACACAGTTTTAAACACAGCAGTATGAAAATAGCTTGCCATACAAAACAGCAGAGCTCTTTGTGCTCTGCATTAAGAAAGTTGATTAAAGATTCCATTCAGCATCTTACTCTCACAATAATTAGATATGCTCTTATTTATAGTTCATCTTCAATATTATGGCTGATAGTCTCTGACTTCTGTCATATTACAATATCATTTTAAGTCTCATTCCAAGATTACAAGTAATGTTCCATATTGATTTTAATATGTAATTGTAATGATTACTTGTTGGCCCAGCATGGCTTCAAAATAGAAATAAAATGACTAAGTACTACAATTATTTAAAAAATACAAGATAAGGTAAGACTTACATTGTACTTCAGAGCCCACACTCAAAGTGCATTAGAGTCACTTTGTACCATGCTTTATTGTGTCCTTCACTGTGTTATCCACTTTTGTGTCCTTTCTCTTCAGTCTCTACAAAAATGATTGTATTTTGATTACAGTTTTGTTGATTTCTACACTGTACATTAGAGTGAAGCCAGTTCCTGTGCTGTGAGTCTTGTTCTCTTCTGAGAGATGGGCAGTTTGCTGTCTCCTTCCTTGTGCATTCCCCCAACTCCCCAAAGACAAACTACGTTTAAAATAATAATATTAGAGCCCTTCTCAAAGTGACACAAAAGAAATCACACAAACCAGAAGGAGCAGTCTCCACAAAGGGATTACTGATTTCAACAGGAATGTAATTTCTTGCTCACTGCCTTGCTCAGTTTGTCAGACCTCCCACTAGCTAGATGTCATAAACTGCAAGGTAGCAACAGCAAAGGAGGGCAGACCAAATAGGGTCTTTTTAAAATAAATACTAGCTTTCTCATTTTATCATTTTGAGGGCTTAGTTTAAAAAAAATTACATTTTTCATTTGTATAGGATGCTGGGCAAAGCAGCTGCAAATGCTGACAATATTTTACAGGGTGAAGTTTTTAGGAAGGCAATAAATACATCTCATAATGGTATATGCTGGTAAAATTGTAAACATATAGCTTTTTCCATCCTAAAGGTTGCCAATTTTAAGCTAACCCTAAACTGAATTGGTAACATTTAGATTTTTATAATTTTATTTCTGGCTCTTCACTGATGTCATAACCAACTTGCCAACCAATAGTTATTATATATATATATATCCTGATAATAAATATAATACATATATATATCCTGATGACAACACTGCATATATACCCTGATGTCATTTTTATTTGTCAAGAGCTGGAAGCTACAATTAACCTCAATAACCTGTTTGAAAGAAAAGCATCCCAAGTGAAGTAATCCAATCAGGTAAACACTGTCTAGATTAAATGGTGAAAATAAATGCTCTTCCAGGATTATGGCCTATTCCTTTGTAACATTGGTACCAGGATGCCTGTGGGGAAACTAGTTAACTGATAATGAGATGTTTGAGGGTAACTGAGAATAATATGTGTTATGTTGAAAATAAAACAAGCTACCCACTTGATGGGGCCAATTACCACCCTACTAACATATAGCATCCCTTCCCCCCTACTCTCTGTCTATAGATTGAGCTCCTCCAGCCAGGGTTTATACCTTCTTCTATCTAGGTTCTTATATGGCCCTCATCACCATAGTATCTGAGTACCTTAAAAATTAATGGTCAATTTTATCCTCACAGCACTCCGTTTTCCAGAAGGGAGACTGAGGCACAGAGTAGATTAAGTGTTTTGTTCAAGGTTGCACAAGAAGCCTGTAGCTGAGTCCTGCTTTGCACTCAGTTCTTCGAAGTCATAACCCAGGACCCTAGGCCCCAATACAATCCTTCATTCCCCCTTCCCTGTTTGGAAGTGCCACTGCAAATATATTATTCATCATTATTTTGTATTTATCTAAAGATAACTTAGATTATTTATCTAAAGACCTCTAGATTCTTTTACTTTTGTTAAAATCATGGGAACTGATCCAATAGGGAGCCTTCAAGCCAGGTGATGCAGCACCCCTAGTTCTAGCACCTATGCCTCCACTCAGCTAAAAGTAGAGCACGTCCTGCTTTAAATCTGTGTAACAAACTTACAGGATTGACTACAGCTGCAAAGCCCATCTGTTTTCTCTGATATTTAGGTATGGTGTGGGTGGTATTTGGAGGATTTTTTTTACCTTGATCTGGGTTGTTACTGGTTGGCATTTATTATTATTTTATTAGTGATTGTTGGAGCAGTCTGTTCCAAATGTTGTGAAGGACTGATAGCTGTGATTGGTTGTCTTGTAATTATAAATCAAAACAAATAATTAAATAGTATTGATCTGTTTTACCATAATATCCAGGGAGTTTCTGTATCCCTAAACTCCTTAATCCTTCTTTCTTTTATACTGAGGGGAGACCATCAAAGGTTTGATGTTTCAGTACAGATAGAAAAGGAGTACTTGTGGCACCTTAGAGACTAACCAATTTATTTGAGCATAAGCTTTTGTGAGCTACAGCTCACTTCATCGGATGCATACTGAAGCTGTAGCTCACAAAAGCTTATGCTCAAATAAATTGGTTAGTCTCTAAGGTGCCACAAGTACTCCTTTTCTTTTTGCGAATACAGACTAACACGGCTGTTACTCTGAAACCTGTCAGTACAGATAAGCACTCTTAAAGTTTGGCTGCCTTTTCTTCATAGAACTGGACTCCAGTTCATATGAGAACATTTTAATGAGATTTTTGGCCTGTCACACTTCCAGCAGGGCCAAAAATACCCTAATAGGATATTGACTCCTTTTCCAGTTTTGTCTGAAACCAGGAAATGCAGCAGAAAATACATATATACAATAAGTTAAATAAACTCTTTCAACCCCAAACATTTTGTTCAGTTTCTATTTAATTATGGATGAAATTTCGGATCAGATCTTCCTTTATCCCCAATGATTCACTACTCCCTGCATTTTGGACTGATGCACACTATTTGTGATGTTTAATAGATTGTTCCACATTCTATTATTATTCATATACCTCCAAAAGTGTGCTGGGTATACTACTATTAAAAAAAACACACACAAACCAGGTCCTGCAGTGAACAGATTACAATTTAAGAGGAGACAAGACACAAGTAATGTAACCTAAAAACAAAGTTGAGAAAGAAGAGGGAGTCAAGGAAACAATACCATATCCTTACTTAGGTAGTTATACATACATCTTGAAGGGCTTGTATTGTTGAGCTTTCATTTTTATTACTGTTGTTGGAAATTCATTTCTAAAGGGCATTGCAAAGAAGTGAGTCTAGTTTTATATATGTACTTTCTATAATTATTTGCTTGACATGTTTATATGCTAGCTTCACATTCAGTTCTCAATTATGGTTTATGGCCTCTTGGGTTTTGTTTATGCAAGGCAATTGACCAGCACAGTTGTAGAACAATAAAAATAGAGTAATTAGTCCAGAATAAAGTCACTTTTATTCCAGAATAGAGTGTCAACACACGTGAGTAATATCAGAATTGCAATAGCATAATAGCTATGCTTTAGCTTTGCTGGTCAGTTTCCCCTTGCAGGCAAGCTCTTGTATCTGAAAATGCTCAACTTGCTACCCATAGTGCTACTCTGAATGGGCCAGGAGCAGTGATGAAGGGAAGAGATCTCATCCAGGAGCAGTGAGGGCAGTGCTCCATGTGGTCGGAGGATGGGCAGACCTGTGAAAGGAAGGGGACATGGACTTCCTATCCATCCTCAGTTTTGTAGAACCTGGGGCCATTGGTGCCAGGTGAGGTCTGCATTGGAAAAACTCTGCCAGGTAGTTTGGGGTGGTTACCCCTGTTTGGTAATACTGTATGTGTCTCATTGTTACCTTGTCCTCATCAATGTCTCATTGTCATCAATGTGTTAATTCCTTTCCAGTTTGTCCTACACACTATTATTTCTTCATAACATTATGCGACGCTCTGTACCTCATGCTCTAATAAATTTGTTAGTCTCTAAGGTGCCACAAGTACTCATGTTCTTTTTGTGGATACAGACTAACTCAGCTGCTACTCTGAAATCTGTACCTCAGGGGAACACCCAGCACCCATTGTGTGGTATCCAATGCAATGTTTGTCTGTTGGGTGTCTTCGGAAGGCTCATGATGCACTGAGCATTGTTGTTATAGTGATGTTATAGTAATTGTCTTTACAGTAATGTTATAGGTTATAATTTCATGTATATAGTTATGAGGCTGCAGATGTATCCTCATGGCTTAAAGGAAGCCCAGGCAAAAACTCTCTAAGAGCAGAGGGGCACTTCACACCTCATCAAGGCACGTATGGGACAAACCCAGCCCAGCCTCACAGGAACAAAGGACGCTGACCTAGGCAGCAACAAAAGGATCTGTTGGACTCTCGAGTGAGTCACCCCTTCTTCCTTTGGTCAGTTTGGGACTGCAATGAGGTAATGCTCACCTGACTCTGAAGGGGCGGCGATGCAAAGCCAAGAAGGAAGAAAGAACATGATAAAAGGAAGAGACATTTGCCATGCTCTTCCTTTCTCTTCCACCTCCACCTACAAACATCACTACCAAGCAACTAAAGCACTGATCAAAGGGGAGAGCCTGGCTGAAAGGCAACCAGCCAGCCTGTGGTGAGAGGCATCTAAGTTTGTAAGGGCATTGAAAGTGTTAAGATCAGCTAAGAATGCGTTTTGCTTTTATTTCATTTGACCAAATCTGACTTGTTATGCTTTGACTTATAATCACTTAAAATTTATCTTTGTAGTTAATAAATCTGTTTGTTTATTCTACCTGAAGCAGTGCATTTGGTTTGAAGCATGTCAGAGACTCCCCTTGGGATAACAAGCCTGGTACATATCAATTTCTTTGTTAAATTGACGAACTCATATAAGCTTGCAGCATCCAGTGGGCATAACCGGACACTGCAAGATGGAGGTTCCTAGGATTGCGTCTGGGACTAGAGATATGGGCTAGTGTCATTCAGTTGCACAATCCAAGGAGCAGCTTACATGCTAGAGGCTGTGTGTGAACAGCCCAGGAGTGTGGGTTCTCACAGCAGAGCAGGGTAAGGCTGGCTCCGAGATCAAGGATTGGAGTGACCTACCAGATCACTGGTCCAGATAATACCAGAGGGGAACATCACACATTATTTATGTATCTGGGTAAAAGACCCTAATATCTGACATCCCCGAAACCACCAATTATAAAGTGTTAAGATACAAAATGATAGAAAGTCATGTAAGTGTAATGGGCCTAAATCTGCATTTGGTTATACTGGATTCATGCCAGATTACCTCCATTGACTTCATCAGCCGCTGAAACAGTAGGCGGGAGAACATTCAATGCATTAGCCACTGTGGCAGGGCACTACTGGGGAAGGCTCAATCAGCTCCTTCCACTCCAGCCCCAATCAGCGGAAATGGTTTGGGTAAATAGCCTAGGTTTGCCTAATCACTGACTGAACCAGCAAGCCTCATTAGGCAGGAGCTATAAGGCTGGGAGGAAGTGGAAGAAAGGTGGATAGGCAGAGACCAGGAAATTCAGGGAGCAGCAGGAGCCTGCTACTCTGTTGCTGATCAGGCCTGTGTTAGACCAAGCCATTGTAAATAGTCTGTACATCATAGGAAATGGACACAAATAAAGGGCATGGGAGTTGCACCAGTTAGGAGTGTTGCCAAGGGCCTGGATATGCAGGGGTGTTTTGGAGACCCCATTACAGCCACTAAGACCCAACTGGGTGTCTCAACTTTGCTGAGCATATAAAATCCTAACAAGGGATAAATGT